GTATCCATCCCGGTCCCGCTCCTGAATTTTTTTTCACAATTTTTTCAAATTTTTTTTTGAATTTTTTTCAAAAATGTTTTTTCCCATTTTTCCAAAAAACTTTTTCACATTCTTTTTCAAAAAATTTTTTTTTCAAATTTTATTTTTCAAAATATGAGTTATATGAGTTTGAAAATCTCAGAAACTTAAAAAAACACTTTATAACACCAAGAAAATGCGTATCTTAAGTATATTTTTGAATTTTGGAACTTTATAAGGTATATGACGTACCTAGAACATCAGTAGGTATGAAATACATCTGTTATGTACGGTCGGTTTTGGATACAGGGTTTATCCTGCGGTCCCTCGGGATATACACATATTTCCCTTGGGATAAAACCTGTATCCAAAACCTCCCAGTACATAACCCTTATAAATTGTCCAAGAGAGAACAAAAGCTTTCTTTCTATATATTCTTTACACAGATCTACTCACCACTCCTTACGTAAGGTGCGATATACAATACTGTCCCTAATATCAGAATCGATAGCATCATGCGACTTTACCCGAGATAATCTCGAAAAGACTGATGTGGTTTCAAGCTCATATTTCCACTTTCCAATGAATTGTTTGTTTATCAGGCATTAATCAGATATCATTTACATATGTTGCCAATTTTTAGAACCATCAGAATAGAGGTTAATGTCCATGATCCCTCTCCCAATATAATAACAAAACAAGGTTTTTGCAGTTGGTTAGATGGCAGAAGCTTGTCTGTTAGACTGGTAATCGCTGGGAGGGGTGTGAGTGTGGACACCGCGATCCCCGGGGTTACGAGGGTCAGTCTAAGACGTTGCCTTTTTACAAAACCCATTTACGCAACTCAACAGCCCCCAAAGCCGCCAAACCGCACACATGAGCCCCCAGTCCTTAAGATAAGGTTATGACGTCTAAGCAACAGGTGTGTGGTAAGCAATATCGCTTTAAAATCTCATTCAAGTCTCATTTTGAGGAAGTCTAGAAGATTTGCATTAAGGACTCAAATAACATTTTTGAGATATATACAATCTTCTAGTCAAACAATGATTTATATAGTTATTATAATCTTGGTTTCAATCTGCTAGGATTTTTCAGTACTCAGAAATCCCCATTGACACAATGTTAAAAAACTTAAAAAGTTTTTTGTCTTTAAAGCTTATAATAACTAAGTGAGGATTCCAATGCTGAGGATAATAAGATCACCTAGATGTATGTCATTTGTGGTTTAAATTAATCAAATTTGAAATATTTGATTAATCAAGAAAACAAGCGTTTTGGCCAATTTTGTCTTCCATATGTTTAGCCCAACCAAAATCACTGCTGCCATCTATTTGCCAGTGCATACACCAAGTCTTATATTGGAGATCATACAGTGGTATTGTATCTGTTGTTATCAAGCTATAATCTCTTTGAAGAAAATTGAATAGATATTTAAATTAAACTGTCAATCAGTCTAATCGAACTGCCAATCATTATGATTGGAGAGTCAATCACCTGAAAGCACTGTCAGTCATTCAATAGGAATTGCAATAATTTTAGAGTGATTCATTTTCTGTTATAATTTGTATTCAGAATGTTTTATCAAAACAATGGTAAACTTCATTTGTTACATTGTAGAATGAAATAATTTATCTGCATGTAAATGATATGCTTAAATTTGCTTATTGGAAATATTAAATTTAACAAAATTTTTAAGAAATATGTACATTATATATCTCTATTCGAGTGTCTAATTATGTCAAGACCACAAGTGGTGACATGTTGTTATAGTCTAAAAAAAAAATGTTGTTATAGTCTATAACCTTTGTGATAGACCGGTGTAGGTGTTCAGTGGACAGCAGTCTGTGTCTGTCTGTACAAATGACATTGCATATGTAACAAATGGCAGGTTATGGCAGTTTGTATGTTAATGCCTTGTTTTTGGTGATACAATGATACGAAATATTACTTTATAGTATCTTTCTTGGAAGTAGTGTGAATCATTTATAAAATTGACACGATCTAAATCTTTTGGTAGTAAGATCAAACAGAGGGATTCTATGTTAGCTTCAACATGCAGTGCTTGTACATTATTCTACACTGCATTTTTTATTTCAGATCCTTTCTCAAAGGTTATAGAGAAGGTCCAGTTTAAGTTTTTTAGAAGTAAGATCAAATAGAGTGATCCTATGTTAGCTTCAACATGCAGTGCTTGTACATTATTCTACAATGTACTTTTTTATTTCAGATCCTTTCTTAAAGGTTATAGAGAAAGCCCAGTTTAAGTCTTCTAGTATAGTAAGATGCAAAAAAGAGTTCCTATTTTACTTCAACATACAATGGTTGTGCATTATTCTACACTGTACATGTACTTTTTTTATTTCAGATCCTTTCTTAAAGGTTATAGAGAAAGCCCAGTTTAAGTCTTCTAGTATAGTAAGATGCAAAAAAGAGTTCCTATTTTACTTCAACATACAATGGTTGTGCATTATTCTACACTGTACATGTACTTTCTTTATTTCAGATCCTTTCTTAAAGGTTATAGAGAAAGCCCAGTCTAAGTCTTCTAGTAGTAAGATCAAACAGAGTAATCCTATGTTAGCTTCAACATGCAGTGCTTGTACATTATTCTACACTGTATTTTTTATTTCAGATCGTTTCTTAAAGGTTATAGAGAAGGCCCAGTCTGAGTCCTCTTGTAGTAAGATCAAACATAGTGATCCTATGTTAGCTTCAACATGCAGTGCTTGTACATTATTCTACACTGCATTTTTTATTTCAGATCCTTTCTTAAAGGTTATAGAGAAAGCCCAGTCTAAGTCTTCTAGTAGTAAGATCAAACAGAGTGATCCTATGTTAGCTTCAACATGCAGTGCTTATACATTATTCTACAATGTCCTTTTTTATTTCAGATCCTTTCTTAAAGGTTATAGAGAAAGCCCAGTCTAAGTCTTCTAGTAGTAAGATTAAACAGAGTGATCCTATGTTAGCTTCAACATGCAGTGCTTGTGCATTATTCTACAATGTACTTTCTTTATTTCAGATCCTTTCTTAAAGGTTATAGAGAAAGCCCAGTCTAAGTCTTCTAGTAGTAAGATCAAACAGAGTGATCCTATGTTAGCTTCAACATGCAGTGCTTATACATTATTCTACAATGTCCTTTTTTATTTCAGATCCTTTCTTAAAGGTTATAGAGAAAGCCCAGTCTAAGTCTTCTAGTAGTAAGATCAAACAGAGTGATCCTATGTTAGCTGCAACATGCAGTGCTTATACATTATTCTACAATGTCCTTTTTTATTTCAGATCCTTTCTTAAAGGTTATAGAGAAAGCCCAGTCTAAGTCTTCTAGTAGTAAGATCAAACAGAGTGATCCTATGTTAGCTTCAACATGCAGTGCTTGTGCATTATTCTACAATGTACTTTCTTTATTTCAGATCCTTTCTTAAAGGTTATAGAGAAAGCCCAGTCTAAGTCTTCTAGTAGTAAGATCAAACAGAGTGATCCTATGTTAGCTTCAACATGCAGTGCTTATACATTATTCTACAATGTCCTTTTTTATTTCAGATCCTTTCTTAAAGGTTATAGAGAAAGCCCAGTCTAAGTATTCTAGTAGTAAGATCAAACAGAGTGATCCTATGTTAGCTTCAACATGCAGTGCTTATACATTATTCTACACTGCATTTTTTATTTCAGATCCTTTCTTGAAGGTTATAGAGAAAGCCCAGTCTAAGTCTTCTAGTAGTAAGATCAAACAGAGTGATCCTATGTTAGCTTCAACATGCAGTGCTTGTACATTATTCTACAATGTCCTTTTTTATTTCAGATCCTTTCTTAAAGGTTATAGAGAAAGCCCAGTCTAAGTCTTCTAGTAGTAAGATCAAACAGAGTGATCCTATGTTAGCTTCAACATGCAGTGCTTGTACATTATTCTACAATGTCCTTTTTTATTTCAGATCCTTTCTTGAAGGTTATAGAGAAAGCCCAGTCTAAGTCTTCTAGTAGTAAGATCAAACAGAGTGATCCTATGTTAGCTTCAACATGCAGTGCTTATACATTATTCTACAATGTCCTTTTTTATTTCAGATCCTTTCTTAAAGGTTATAGAGAAAGCCCAGTCTAAGTCTTCTAGTAGTAAGATCAAACAAAGTGGTCCTATGTTAGCTTCAACATGCAGTGCTTGTACATTATTCTACACTGCATTTTTTATTTCAGATCCTTTCTTAAAGGTTATAGAGAAAGACCAGTCTAAGTCTTCTGGTAGTTAGATCAAACAGAGTGATCCTATGTTAGCTTCAACATGCAGTGCTTGTACATTATTCTACACTGTACTTTTTATTTCAGATCCTTTCTTAAAGGTTATAGAGAAAGCCCAGTCTAAGTCTTCTAGTAGTAAGATCAAACAGAGTGATCCTATGTTAGCTTCAACATGCAGTGCTTGTTCATTATTCTACAGTGTACTTTTTTATTTCAGATCCTTTCTTAAAAGTTATAGAGAAGGCCCAATCTCAGTCTTTTGGTAGTAAGATCAAACAGAGTGATCCTATGTTAGCTTCAACATACAGTGCTTGTACATTATTCTACAATGTACTTTTTATTTCAGATCCTTTCTCAAAGGTTATAGAGAAGGTCCAGTTTAAGTTTTTTAGAAGTAAGATCAAACAGAGTGATCCTATGTTAGCTTCAACATGCAGTGCTTGTACATTATTCTACAATGTACTTTTTATTTCAGATCCTTTCTCAAAGGTTATAGAGAAGGTCCAGTTTAAGTTTTTTAGAAGTAAGATCAAACAGAGTGATCCTATGTTAGCTTCAACATGCAGTGCTTGTACATTATTCTACAATGTACTTTTTTATTTCAGATCCTTTCTTAAAGGTTATAGAGAAAGCCCAGTCTAAGTCGTCTAGTAGTAAGATTAAACACAGTGATCCTATGTTAGCTTCAACATGCAGTGCTTGTTCATTATTCTACAATGTACTTTTTTATTTCAGATCCTTTCTTAAAGGTTATAGAGAAAGCCCAGTCTAAGTCGTCTAGTAGTAAGATTAAACAGAGTGATCCTATGTTAGCTTCAACATGTAGTGCTTGTACATTATACCAAACTGCACTATCTACACTCTCACAGTTAAAAATGGACATACTTGCAGGTTTGTGTTCAGTTGTATTTTATATGATTTTAAATGATGTGAATACAGTTGTTACTATCAGATGAACTTAATAATATAAAACATTTGCAATTTCAAATCATCTTGTGATCATATCATTTAGGGATACATGTATATTATGGTCATAATTTGTTGTGTAGTTCCTAGAATAATTTTCCTGACCATGAATTTAATGATGTCAGATTCAAAAAAATTTCTGGTAATGATCACAAGAGGTACATTTCGCGAAGTTAAATTAAGATTTAGATAAATTCTTGTTACTTTGGAAGTCATAATGTCATAGAATTAGAGCTTTTTAAATGCCTATGTAAGGTACATTTTCCAAGACTTCAAATGTTTTTTCATGAAATTATTCTAGGAATGAACCCATGATTATTCTAATAAAAATGAGTGATCTTACATTTAAATTTTTACTTGCAGGGCTCAGTTGTCATGACGTTTTACTACCTGCTTTATGGATGTTTATTTCCGGACTTGGCCAGAATTGTGGCTTGAAAGTGTTTTTGGAGACACTCAGTTCCCAACCTAATAATACAGACCATGTGCTGTTCCAGTTACTTATCCTGTTTTGTGATTGTGCAAGCCATCTAATCATGTGTGTAACTTTTGCCTAAATATATTTTATTTATTTATTTATTTATTGACATAACCTAGTAACATACTACATTAAATACACACATGGTATCGTCATGCTGTTAAAAGAAAATGAATGTACAGTTTATACTATATTTAACAATATATTGTCAGCTATTCTGGTGGGGGTGGGGTCTTGACTGTGCATCTCCAAACAAACTACTTGAGGGATGGAGATTTTAAGGGATGTTTTTTGTATGACAGTCTATAACGGCACAGCTTTTGGATACGCTTGTCAATTTCTCTTTGTCAGCAATTTATCATTTTACCTCAGGATATTATTACATGTACATTTATGTTTCAGACTGTTAGATGACTCAGAGCTGTATGAACAAGAGAAACCATTTGCTTTGAAAGACATCCTTTCCATGAGTACATTCCTAAATCAGCTGCTCTTCAAAGTCATTTGGTATGGTCTGTTAGGTGAGTCTTGCGCAGTTTCCCCATTACTTGTATTTGAAATCATACCACAAAAAAGTTGTGTAAAATTATTTAGTTATGTTTCTGTTGGTTTATTCAATATCCATATCCATCAAAACATCTGGTAATTATTATGATTTTAATGGAATATCTGAAATACTATTAACCAACAGCACTATATCAAGACTATTGACCACCATATGACCGACCAACGCAGTATTTAAACTAAGTGTTACTTCCAAACTTCCATGTAATTTGGGATTTCTTTTCTTCAGATATTAAAACAGCTGCCGGTAATGATGTTTTTATATCCTGCCACAGTTTACTTATGATCTTATATGAGAGAGATTCACGGAGGTCTTACACCCAACCAAACCACTGGCTTATCAAGTAAGGAACAACTATTTTGGGCTCACATGGTTAAACTGCCACAATGGACTGACCCACTAATCTGAATGTCTGTCTGTCGGACTGTCCATCAATCTGTCCATTTGTCATTCTGTTAGTCTGTGAACAATTTCCTGACAGTGAATGAAGGAATTATCACCCCACCAAATCCACCTTATTCTATCTCACAGGTCCCATAAGTGCTCTCATATCACTACTGAGTTTGAAATTCTTATAAAGAACAGGAATTATAAGGCAGGCACTGTCATTCATGTCATTCAATTATCCACATTAGCTTCATGAACAATGTTTCCCCTTTCTTGTCTTTATACCTATATTCTGATTGCTACTGCAACTAGGTGATCTTATTTTTTGAGGATTGTGATCTTACAATTAATTATTAGTTTTAAAAGAGTAGAAATTGCTATAATGGTGTTGTGTCCTTCCGCTGAGTGGGCAGGTGTGCTGTCAAGCAATACACATAAATGTTTGATAAAAAAGTGCTATGTGTATTGCGGTCAATGTGGTGTATTTCTTAACTTAACTTATGTATCTGGATCTCTTTTACCTTATATTATAATTTTGGACTTCTCAATACCTTTGTTTTACCTGCATGTCCAAATATATATATTTTTTTTTATTTTAGGGATATCAGGTCAAAGGATTTTATGCTTGAACTAGAGAAAGGTCGAAAAATCTCCACTTTTCTCCTCCAGAGGGTGCCACATGTCATACCACATCGGGAGGTAACCCAAAATATTTTGATTTTGTCATAAATAATTTATAGAAATGAAAAACCGTATATATTGAAACACATATTCATTATATCTAAAAATATTTACATGTACATGTAGTGTCATCAATTTGCTTAAACATTGAGACGCTTTGCAACATTCTGTAGAATTGTTCGAAGAATCATGAGGGAGATAGTGGGGTTGTAGCTTTGAGTATGGTGAATTATATGCTGTCTCTGTTTGCCTCAGGCTTTATGTGACTGATTTAAGATCTGTTATGTTACAAACTCTCCAATTCTACGACTGAAGCCACAGGGCACTTCTATTTAAAATAGGATTGATTTTGGATTGAGGGAGATTCTATTTGCTGCCTCTGTTTCATTCAGACTTATAAATGACCTCTGACTGATTTAACACTCCCATTCTACGACCCAAGCCATGAGGCACTTCAATTTTTAATAACATTGATTTTGGATTGAGGGAGATTCTATTTGCTGCCTCTCCTCATTTAGACTTGTCAATGATGTACCTCTTCCTATTCCCATTTGGAAACTGTTAGCCATGGACACTTCTATTTTCAGAGAGTTATGTTGTTCAGAAGAAATGTTGCTCAAGAGAAGGATGCCCTGGGGTTAAATCCCTCTGCATGTGCCTCACCTCAGTCAACTCTTATCACAGTGCACAGGGCCAGGATAATAGAGGTAAGCAAAGCCGCATTACCCAACTTTTCATTAAGCATGCTCTATGTAATATCTTATAAAGCAGTTGACTCTTATCACAGTGCAAAGGGCCAGGATAATAGAGGTAAGCACAGCCGCATTACCTAAATTTTCATAAAGCATGCTCTATGTAATATCTAATACCTCACCTCAGTCAACTCTTATCACAGTGCACAGGGCCAGGATAATAGAGGTAAGCACAGCCACATTACCTAACTTTTCATTAAGCATGCTCTATGTAATATCTAATACCTCACTTCAGTCAACTCTTATCACAGTGCATAGGGCCAGGATAATTGAGGTAAGCACAGCCACATTACCTAACTTTTCATTAAGCATGCTCTATGTAATATCTAATACCTCACCTCAGTCGACTCTTATCACAGTGCATAGGGCCAGAATAATTGAGGTAAGCACAGCCGCATTACCTAACTTTTCATAAAGCATGCTCTATGTAATATCTAATGCCTCACCTCAGTCGACTCTTATCACAGTGCACAGGGCCAGAATAATTGAGGTAAGCACAGCCGCATTACCTAACTTTTCATAAAGCATGCTCTATGTAATATCTAATGCCTCAACTCAGTCGACTCTTATCACAGTGCATAGGGCCAGAATAATTGAGGTAAGCACAGCCTCATTACCTATTTTTTCATAAAGCATGCTCTATGTAATATCAAATACCTCACCTCAGTCAACTCTTATCACAGTGCACAGGGCCAGAATAATTGAGGTAAGCACAGCCGCATTACCTAACTTTTCATAAAGCATGCCCTATGCAATATCTAATAACTCACCTCAGTTGACTCTTATCACAGTGCACAGGGCCAGAATAATTGAGGTAAGCACAGCCGCATTACCTAACTTTTCATTAAGCATGCGCTATGTAATATCTAATACCTCACCTCAGTCAACTCTTATCACAGTGCACAGGGCCAGGATAATTAAGGTAAGCACAGCCACATTACCTAACTTTTCATAAAGCATGCTCTATGTTATATCTAATACCTCACCTCAGTCGACTCTTACCACAGTGCACAGGGCCAGGATAATTGAGGTAAGCACAGCCGCATTACCTAAATTTTCATAAAGCATGCTCTATGTAATATCTAATACCTCACCTCAGTCAACTCTTATCACAGTGCACAGGGCCGGGATAATTGAGGTAAGCACAGCCGCATTACCTAAATTTTCATAAAGCATGCTCTATGTAATATCTAATACCTCACCTCAGTCGACTCTTATCAAAATGCACAGGGCCAGGATAATTGAGGTAAGCACAGCCGCATTACCTAACTTGTCATAAAGCATGCTCTATGTAATATCTAATACCTCACCTCACTCTCATCACAGTGCACAGGACCAGGATAATTGAGGTAAGCACAGCCGCATTACCTAACTTGTCATAAAGCATGCTCTATGTAATATCTAATACCTCACCTCACTCTCATCACAGTGCACAGGACCAGGATAATTGAGGTAAGCACAGCCGCATTACCTAACTTGTCATAAAGCATGCTCTATGTAATATCTAATACCTCACCTCGCTCTCACCACAGTGCACAGGACCAGGATAATTGAGGTAAACACAGCCGCATTACCTAACTTGTCATAAAGCATGCTCTATGTAATATCTAATACCTCACCTCACTCTCATCACAGTGCACAGGACCAGGATAATTGAGGTAAGCACAGCCGCATTACCTAACTTGTCATAAAGCATGCTCTATGTAATATCTAATACCTTACCTCACTCTCATCACAGTGCACAGGACCAGGATAATTGAGGTAAGCACAGCCGCATTACCTAACTTGTCATAAAGCATGCTCTATGTAATATCTAATACCTCACCTCACTCTCATCACAGTGCACAGGACCAGGATAATTGAGGTAAGCACAGCCGCATTACCTAACTTGTCATAAAGCATGCTCTATGTAATATCTAATACCTCACCTCACTCTCATCACAGTCCACAGGACCAGGATAATTGAGGTAAGCACAGCCGCATTACCTAACTTGTCATAAAGCATGCTCTATGTAATATCTAATACCTCACCTCACTCTCATCACAGTGCACAGGACCAGGATAATTGAGGTAAGCACAGCCGCATTACCTAACTTGTCATAAAGCATGCTCTATGTAATGTCTAATACCTCACCTCACTCTCATCACAGAGCACAGGACCAGGATAATTGAGGTAAGCACAGCCGCATTACCTAACTTGTCATAAAGCATGCCCTATGCAATATCTAATAACTCACCTAAGTCGACTCTTATCACAGTGCACAGGGGCAGGATAATAGAGGTTAGCACATCATACCTGATCAATCTGACTTTTTTGAGGACTTGAATATAATATGGATATCTTAATAAAATCAACAGAGGGACACTTGAACATTCAGAATCTCATCGGAAGACAATTGTTGAGTATTAGAACAATTTAACATTGGAACATTCGTGAATCATCTCATCTTTGAAAAGAATTGGAAATTAAGTAGAAGTACAGTATGTCTTGTTCAGTTGGATTTGCTGTGTTAAAAATGTTGAATACATGAAGATCACACAAAGAGACAGAGGTAGTGTTTAAATTGTATTTCTCATTCAGTGTCTTTGAGAGTAAAATACAGAATATACATGAAGATCACATAAAGAGACAGAGGTAGTGTTTAAATTGTATTTCTCATTCACTGTCTTTGAAGATCACACAAAGAGACAGTGGTCGTGTTTAAATTGTATTTCTCATTCAGTGTCTTTGAGAGTAAAATACGGAATATACAAGAAGATTACTCAAAGAGACAGTGGTAGTGTTTAAATTGTATTTATCATTCTGTGTCTTTGAGAGTAAAATACGGAATTTTCTTTTCAAGCGTAAATTACAAAATATATCATGAGGTATGGCTTTCTAAAATATGACGGTATACCAATAACAACAACAAATCACTTGTTTGTCAGATAAACCTGTAGCAGCATATTGATTATGAGAAATAAACTATTGTGATGTTTCAACTATCAATCAAAACTTCAATTGATTGTTTCAAAGTGTATTGACTTCTACTAGTCAATACTAAAACAATTTGGTCAAACAAATAGATTAATTTTAATATTAAATGGAACATTGCATCATGTTTTCAAATGGCTGTATCTAACTAAGTATTAATTATATTTTTATTTCTTGATCTTCTCATAAAATACATGTACGCACAAAAACATGCAGAGGTTATACTGTTCTTGTATAGAGAGGGTCTGTATATTGAATGTATCCATCCTTTTGAGAGACTGGAATTACTGATAGAATATTATACCATGATCAATATGAAGATAGCACTATAAATAAATATAATATGAAATAAAATTATTTTTAAGAATTGCTATCTACTATACACAAAGGATTTTTACTTTGAATTTAAAAAAATTTAATTTTTTTTCATTGAGCAGTTGATGAAGTGTAAACGAGCCCAATCGATAATGTATGTATGTATATAAAATTTTTACCTTGTAGGATGGTTATCGCCAACTAGCAGCTATACCAGGTGGCGCTTTAAAAGGTGTGATCAGGGTAAAGTTTGTTAATGAGCAGGGATTGGACGAGGCAGGTATTGACCAAGATGGTGTATTTAAAGAGTTCCTTGAAGAAACTATCGCCAAAGTGTTTGACCCTTCGCTTAACCTATTTAAGGTAAAGACTTATTCATGTTCGAACCAATAACCATTTTTAATTTAATGTCTATTTATTTAGTGGTAAAATCACTGTATGTATACTGGTAAAATTACAATATGTAATGATAAACTTACAATGAATAATGATAAAATTACAATGTCCTTTTATACATAGGATCAATTTGACGCACTGTGTATACTTTGATCCAACATCTCAATTCTTTATCTGTATATTCCAGAAAATAAAACTTTAGCATTTTGATTGTAATAAAAACATTTGGATGCTTTTAAAAAAAGGTTGCCTCAAACATTTTACATGCTTTTTCCCTTCTACTTCCTTTAAAGATCCTTATTACAAGTTAACAAAATAATTTTAATTCTAGGTGACAAGTGAGCAGAAACTTTACCCTTCTCCCACATCATTCATATGCCAAGAGAACCATTTAGCTCTGTTTGAGTTTGTTGGTAGAATGTTGGGCAAAGCTGTATACGAGGTAAGCTTTATATTTAATTATATGTATTTCATCCACCATGTATACTTAATGCTAACGCGCCATACACTTTCTGATTTGTCTGTGTCCTTATAACTGTTATGTTATAAAAGCATTAATTTTGTGTTTTTGTCGAATGGTTTTACAGGGAATCGTAGTTGACGTTCCTTTTGCTAATTTCTTCTTGACGCAAATCTTGAACCAACAACGAGGCTCCAATTACACCACCTATAGTTCAATAGATGAACTACCATCGCTAGATCCAGAATTGTATAAAAGTTTAACTTATGTGAAGGTAAGGTGAAAGATAAAAGATTTGAAATTAAAAAAATCTTCAAATAAAAGAACTAAAAAAGATATTATGTGACGGTAGATATTTGAAATGCTGTACTTTGAAATAAGAATATTTTCGTATTAGATTTAATTTACAATTGATTTAATATGTTTCAAAGTAGTTATTAAGAGTAGAAACTTTATAATAAGAAAGTTATGAGAATCATCTGGTAATATGAATAAAATTTATTTAAGCATGATTAATAAATGTTAAATGAATAAATTGAATTTCATTGAACTTTTTTGCAGCACTATGACGGGGATATAAGTGACTTAGAACTGAGTTTTTCCTGTGATGAGGATATGATGGGCCAATTGGTTACACATGAGTTAAAACCTGGAGGCAAAGCTATGCCTGTAACCAATGAAAACAAGTAATGTTGTTTGGTTCTTTGTTTGTTTGTTTGTTTGTTTATTTGTGTATAAGACTTTTGAACCTTGGAGGTACAACGGCAAGTCCATTATTAAACCTAAAAGCCTAACACTTGTACCTTAAAGAGACCAGGTCATTATTTCGATATTGAATCAAAAAATGTTTATTGAATACATATGGCCATCCACTAAAAAGCTTCAAATGATAAATGAACAAAAAAATTTGCGTTCCTTCAATTTTAGGTGTTACATCAAAAATAATGAGTTTTTGTATTTACTTAACTATTTCACATACAAGTATTGTATACCATTTGAAAGTTTTACTTCATTATTCAGGATCAGCTATGTACATCTAATGGCCCATTTCCGCATGCGGGTCCAGATCCGAGATCAGACTAATGCATTCATTCGGGGCTTCAAATCTGTAGTGAACACTGATTGGCTGACGATGTTCTCAACCCCTGAGCTACAGAAACTGATATCGGGAGATAACGAGAACTTTGACTGGGAGGACCTCAGGTAAAAAAAGTCTTGTACTTGTCTTTTTGTTTTGGATTTGAAAAAAATGTTACCCTCTTCTTTTGGAATAACTTTCTCAAAAATGATGGACTCTGTGAATTTTTACACAGAGCGTGTTCGATTGAGAACACTTGTGTATTTATATTGCGGCTATGATTATGAGATCTAGAGTAATCACGTTTTTCACGGGATTTTCATCGAGGTATGCTCTCGTGTGAAATCGTTGAAAAATTTCAAAATTACAATTTTCTGAAAGGAAAATATATCGATATGGTGAACTGAATTCAACAATGTTTTTCTCTTAAACCAATTTTTGGAAACATTCTGAAAAAAAACACAGTCCATTATTAGATAGTCGGAATGATGGCTCAAAAGTGCCAGGAAAGTCCTTTTTAATGTACAGTTGCAACATATTCTCGACTTTGGTACCGTTGGAAAGCTTGTGGTGCCTAGATTTGAGATCCACTTGTTAGCAATTACGAAATGTGGGCCGAATGTGTCTAAAATGCCCGTTTCCATGGTAACAACAAAAATATGGTGTTAATAAGCAGAAAATTGATTTAATGCATAACTTTACTAATATTGCTCCGATTTTAATGAAATTGGTATCAAATTAAAGAAAATGAAAAGTCACATTTTTCAAAATAACATTTATGCAAATTAGCTCATTTGCATATTAATTGTGACGTCATCACTGCATTATTTTGTGTATTTTTGGATAAATGAGTAATTGCTAACAAGTGGATCTCAAATCTAGGCACCACAAGCTTTCCAACAGTACCAAATTCGAAAATATGTTGCAACTGTACATTAAACTTTTTTTTGGACCTCCAATTCTGCCCGCCTATATGTAATGTTGACTGATTGGCAACAATTTAATGCAAAATTTATTTATATATATTTTAGATAACTGTTTTTGTAAACATTTTTTTAGTGCACTTGTTTTTTGTTCCTTTTTACCAATTCTTGAGAATGAAATAAAATGTCTTTCCGAACCTTGTTGGAACAAAATAGCATATATAACATTTTCTTAGACCTCTCAATATTATAGTTATACAAAGGAAAAAAGTATGCAATAACCCCCCAAAATAGATAAAAATTAAGATAAACCTTTTATTTCATTAACAAGATACTTTTTGGCTCACACAGTGAGCCTATGGATCGACCAGGCATCTGTCCATCCATTGGTCCTTCTGTTGGTCCGTCCGTCAACATTGGCGGCACAAATTAAAACTGCTATTCAGATTGAGTCACTGTGTGAGCACGTGGGTCCTTTATTTAAAATCAACCAATCTTTCCTTGTACAATTACAATATTGAGAGACCTAAACATGTTGTATTTTATGTCGTTTTGTTCCAATGAGGTTTGGATAGATGTTTCATTTCATTCTGAACATATGATACAAATACGATATAGAAAAAAAGTATTTATATATATTTCAAATTATAATGTTACTATTCAAAAGATGACCATTGACGATGTGTTAAATTTTCAGAATGTTTTGATTACTGGTTTAAGAGAAATGCATGTCCAAAAAGTTCACCAACTGAGAAAGTTATACCAAATCAGAGGGTAATGTTTTTTTGGTCACCTTGTTTATATCCATGCTATCATTATATTCATGCTATCATTAAGATACATGTACAGTTTTGTGAGAAAAATAAACATGTAAAATTGTAAACATTTTAAAACTGTAAAGGTTATCTTTGAAATTTATTTTTAATAGAATCATATAGTAAAGTAAAAAACTCATCTGGTTAACGTTAACTGAAATTTTATTTTTATTCTTGCTCTTGAAATTGTTGGCATTTTTGACTGAAAGGTTTACAACTTAATTTGGCAAAAAAGACCCATTCAGGTTTCTGTTGTATTCATCGAATTTGTACCCAAAGAGCTCAAAGTCAAATTCATATATTTTATAGATGTCTTTGATTATATTCTGTGGAACTTTTTCCATCATTTTACTCCTTAGCTCATCGTGTGTTGTTCTGTGTCCGTCCATTTTGGACCATGTTCGAAATAATTTGTATAATTTTTCTTTTGTGTAAAATCCTCTAGTTTTGTTGAGTTTGGGTAAAATGGCATCTTGGCTTATATATCCACGTAATTTTAATCCCTTGAAAACTCGTACTATTAAATCAGGTATGCTGTACCCACAATGCAATTCTGCAGCGTTTGCCCCTCGTAGTAAAATATCAACTTCCCGACTGATGACATCAGTTTTGTATCCATTTGAGATGTTGATCTTTTTCTTATTGATTTTTTCAAGGAAATAATCAGTGTCTTGCTTGAACGTTTCAAGATGGGCGATAATATCATATTTTATTTTGCCACATGGATTACAAGTTTTATGAATAGGTCTCCAATGTATATTCAGTATGTGCTTATCCTTCACAGAGTTGATAATAAAAGCTAAGAACTCAGTGAATGTGATATTACATGCACATTTGGTATGAGTACTAGTATTGTAAAACTTGCACCAATGTATAGGATTGATACTGTAAAGCTTATCCCAATAAGCAGATATAAGCCGACTTATCGGATCACGTACGATCAAAATCTTTGTCATTTTGTTTAACCTGGTAGGCCTGATGATAGATTGATTATTTTTAACATCTCTTCTTTTCATTAAAATATGTATATTGGTGGCTGGGTATTTATAGAGATTTGAGATGTTATTTTCCAATGAATATAAAAGTCTCTTGAATGTACTGCTGCCAACCTTTGGCACATTACAATACAAATATGGTATCTTTTTCCCAGTTATAAATGACTTTGTGGTAAATTCAGTCTTTGAAATATTTTCGAATTTATGGCACATTCGTCTAAGTTCCTCCTGACGACTAGCAAGAATGTCGGATGTGGATAGGCCTAGTAGCTCCATCTTTTGTTGAGATGATGAATCTTCGTTACTAGGGGTAACCAGATGAATCAGTCCGTAATTGTGAGACAATATGAGTCCTTCATAGAAGCCTAGAAAATTGTAACAGTTTAAAATGAACATACTGTATTCAATTTGTGTTCTTTTATTAAACATTATATCTTTAGAATCCCTTCAAATGCATAAAAAGCTCAATTATTATACTGATTTTGTTATAATTTATTGTAAAGTAGAGAAAAAAATTAAAAAGTGATATATCAATATATGGAGACAAAAAATGATCTTAAAAAAATCACTGGTAACAAACTTATTTTCTGAAACTATTTACACTACCATAAAACAAACCAAAAGTGTTGAGAGGAGGGGTACCATAGATTTGTTTTTTAGCAATTTATTTGTAAACTCATGAAAAGATAAATCTTTCAGGCATTTTGTCCATTTTATGGCCTTGATTCAGTAAAATAAAGAAAATGAGAGGGAGTTTAATATTTTTCTGATCCCCAGCAAAATATTGTATATTATTATTAATTTGATTTCTAAATTTCGTAACAGAAATAGTTTGAACAGTTACATATAGAAAACAGCAACTCGATGGATGAGTGAATCCCAATGAAAAAGTATGTTTTTCGAAATCATTAAGCAATTTCATACATGTATTTGGGATATACTCCTAACAACTTTCACTAGAATATGAAACAGTTTCTTGCAATTGATAGCCATTTTTGATCTACAATATCACTGGTGACTTTAAAATTCAAGACATAGATTTTTGCAGTTATTTTGAAAAAAAACAAGGCATCCCTCTGAAATGAACTAAAAGATTCATTCATTGGGAAAATAAAAATATAATATTTGCCTTACCAATGCCTAGAAGTATGATGGCAGCTGCAATGCGATATACATGAGGAATTGATGAAGTGTTTCGTACCATTTTGATGTGTAGTATTCCAATGCATTAGCGACAAATTGTGATATTCGGTACCCACACAGTAAGCAGGCACAAACCTATTAAATAAAACTGTGGAGAAAAAGAAATTTATTTATAATTGATATCGATAGCATTGATTGAATGACCAGTGTCTAAATCATGGTACTTTTTGACATGTTACTGACTTTAATGTTTTCAGCCTCACAAAGGGCTGTATAATAAAACACTTAACAAGTAATCAACAACACTTGAGAAATTAACAACATATGTTGTTAATGTAGGCATTGTTTTAATAGCCTCTCTTCATCATAAGCATTTTTTGTTCTATGTATATTTAGCACTATCAAGGGCTGTACAGTACACTCACACAAGTTCATTAGTTTGAGATTTTTTGAATTCCATTTTCTGTATTTTAGTCTCATTAACTTTGAATAATTATTTAGCAAAATCTATCTATATTTTACTTTCATTAAACTTGAATAATAATTTGGCAAAATCAAGAAGTTCGTAGTGCAAACTAGGTGCACCAAGGTTCAAATACACCATTGGAAAGCTGAGGGTGCCCACTTTAAGAATCTAACCCTCATTTGAATTTAAAGTGAATGCAATATTGGAGATATTAACCTTTTCATCACCAAGGGGTCATTCATTATTTTTATCAAAATCAATTTCAAAATGGCAAATAATCCTATGGTCAGAATGGATTATTTTTAGGTTTACAACAACTAATTCAATGTCAAATTATACTCAAGAATATTTAAGAGTTTGAACCCAGATTGGCTGAGATAGGGGTCATTAAGTATAGTGACTTTTTTATTACACAATGGTAGAAAAGAGATTTGATATTTGAAAACAGTGTGTACATTTGGGTATTTAGGAATATAGAGTACAAATTACTTATTTTCTCCTAAGAATATTAAGAACTCATGTTTGGTATTTTGTCTTAATTTAGAAAACACACCCAGTACTATGGTGGGTTCCACAGCAGTCATCGAGTGGTTACTTGGCTATGGGACATTCTCCAGAAGGACTTCACACAAGATGAGAAAAAATTATTTCTTAAGGTTAGTTGCTGTTCATAAATCTCCTGACTTCCAAGACTGAATGGATTTTTCATTACCGAGGAATTCTTTGAGACCTAGACCTAAAATGACAATATTATCGGACAATTTAGCCAAAATCACTTGAAAAGTGCTCCAAAGTAATTTTTGGCACGTTGGTTTCCTCAAACTCTCCGAACCTCACCCCTCTGGCTATGGGCCTGCGGACTTTGAAATGTTCCTCTAATGGAGGTGTTTTACTTGGTGTTGTATTTCTTTTTCAGTTTGTGACCAGCTGCTCTAAGCCACCATTGCTAGGATTTGCCCACCTTGAGCCACCTTTCTCTATAAGATGTGTAGAGGTCTCTGATGATCAGGTAGCGACACCTTTCTCCAAAATATTTTTTACAACAATTCAATAATCTACATTATGTTTCACAAACCAGCCGAATTGGTTTAAATTTTTTATAGGATCTTTAACCCTTGTCCAACTATGCATGACTATATGTAATATGCTGTGATGTTTAAGACCTTTAATTAACAAAAAAGAAAAAGTAAATATAATTTTGGACACCTACATACTATTTGATGTACATGTATAGCACATGTCCATGATATATAACTGATACTTTTTGATCAATTATGAAAGTTGATGTTGTAAATAAAATATATTTTTGACAAACAATTTAGTTGGACATAGGTAAACATCTGGAATGAGATAACTGTAGAAGATTTATATTTTCAGGACCAAGGAGATACAGTAGGCAGTGTACTAAAGGGATTCTTCAACATTAGAAAGAAAGATCCAGTGGGCAGACTACCAACCTCGTCCACCTGCTTTAACCTCCTGAAGCTACCCAACTACCAGAAAAAGAGCACATTAAAGGAGAAACTACGCTATGCCATCAATAGTAACACTGGATTTGAGTTGTCATAGTACCATTTGTTCCCATGGTGATCAATTTCATAGTTGTTATGGTATCATATCAGGATCAATTATTTTGAGTTGTCAAACTGATTGATTGTTTGCTGCCATAGTGATTGATGTTACAGTTGTTATAGCATCATATTTGAAAGAATTGGTTTGAGTTGTCATAGCGATTGTTGACAGGTGACTGCTGTTATAGCTACAATAGTTAAACCGAATTTGGATGGCCAGCCAGATTGATTGTGGGCAGCTTACATGAATGAAAAAATAGTGTATAAGTCGAACTCATGCCATTATTGATAGAAGGTTGTTATAGAAACAGTATGAAAGACCAAGTCATGCGTGATTGGCTGATTAAGTAATGATTGCCATAACAACATCAGTAGTTTAAGCATATTGGATAATAATCCTGATAGCAAACATAAATTGAATGGCCATTGAGGCATATTCAATGAAAATTGGATTGTATTTACTTAATGAATTCTGAGTTTTATGCTTTATTACTGTCAAAGGAATGTGCGTTTT